GAAGACATTCCTTCTCTGTACTGAACTGGGACTGGCTCTTAAAACTCAGCTTAGTTCAGTGACCAAAGCCTTGTGCACTGTGCTTCTTTATTTTCTTATTTTCTTCTGTTGGGAAAATGACTACACTATAATTTGATATTTCAGAGGCATTATGTAACTAATCCAAAGTACTGTGGTGATCCAATAAAAGCTTCTCAACACATAGAGTGTTTGTCTCCACATGAATGATATGTTTTCTTTCTTGGATGTGCCATCTTTTCTGTTTCTGTCTGTTTAAGTGGTCAAACTATTTCTCAGTAAAATGGTGAAACACAACTCATCTGCCTCTGAGAGTGTTAACACTGCTTCCTTGATATATGTAAAAATTATCATCTCATGGATTCAATATTCCTTTCATGTAAAAGATTTTATTGCTGAATAGTTTATATAGGAAAAATCATCTTTACCACCAGAATTTACTTTCAGTATGATTTATTGTTTTAGCCTTATGGTTTTACCACATCATTGTTTCATTCTTGTCTCAAAATGTTTATACTTCTTTCATTACCACTTTTTATATCCTGAAATTTATTTGGAAGAGAACAGCTACTTGAGGAAAAAAATATCGGAATGTATTCCATGTTTCTCTGCCAAAAGATCTCTTGACCTGTGAAACAAAGTGTGGAGCAGGTGTGAATGAACTCCAGAAATCTTAAGGCCAGAGGGCTTCATTTTGGAACATACTCAGCAATCCAATCTACTTTGAGCACAGCATTTAAACATGTGCTTAATGTTAAGCACACAAAGAGATTTCGTTGGGTAGAGTTTGCTACCAAGCCCAGCTGAGTAGCTAAGCTGTTCATTCCCCCTAATGCACTTACTCTGCTTTTACCTAAGGAAAAAACAGATAAATCAGACCTAAACTCCTGGAAATCTAATTAATCAAAAAGCACTGTAGTGGCTTATTAATTTTTGCCTCCAATAGCCAGTGTTCAGTAACACAACAACATTCGTGCTAAAGGTGTGGAGTATTTAATCCCTTGTCATTGCCTCCAAACCATCACCCAGGGCTCTCCCTGCCTTCTCTGTGGGGTTAAAACAACTGTGAGAAACGTGTGTGTTTATTCTGGCTTGTTAGGAGCTGCAGTGCTGATGTGAACCTTTGCCTACTGGTTTTACGGTCAAGAACACAAATTCTTGAGGCTAAGAGGGATCCTGAACATCATAATCTAAATTGATGTGGCCAAGCAGGCAGTTAAGAGACAGGCATCATCTATGAACACAAAATGTAAAGGTCACTGTTCTTCTCTACCCATCACTGGAAAAGCTAGAGATAGGGTACAGCTTTGGATACACTTTTATGTAGATGCAGATTAACTGGACACAGCTGTCAGAAGGCAAACAGGATGAATCATAGAAAATGAGAGCTGTGAGAGAATGCTGTGAGATTTATGAACAGCAGTTTTAAGGAAGAGTTCATTCTGGTCTCTAACCTAGATGGAGAGACAAATTCCCCATCTTTAGCTTTACCATTATATCTGTGAGTGTTAGAGTTGCTGTGACTCCAAGTAACTGTAACACAGAATGGAAGCAGCATGATACCCCTTGTATCACCTTTTGAAAACAGATTATAATCACACGTTTTAAGGGAAGATCATCCACCAGGTTTCCATAAGAACAGTCATACTGCATGAACTGTTGTACGTGAGCTTCCAATCTTTTATCCTAGACTCTTAACAAAGAGCTGAAAACACATTTCTTGCAGCTCAGAATCTGCCATGGCCTGAAAACAACTTATTAATCTTGATTTTTTTGTCTGTAGCTTCTTCATTCCCTCCCCTTTCAGTGCAACAGGGTCCCACGGGGGCTGCCGGAGCTGCTCACTCTGGCCCAGCTCTGGGAAGGTGGAAGTTGTCCAGAGTCTTTTGAGCAGAGCTTGTCTCCCAGCCCTGAGCTGCAGGCAAAGGAGTAGTTACTGCTGCAGACAAGCTCTGTATTTCCTTTACTTCTCCTGCTGCAACCTGTAAATCCTTTTCCGAGGTTAAATGGAAAATTTTCATCTCCAATAAATTACCAGTTTTCAGCTTTTTATTTCCTTGAGAAAAGGAAATAAACATTCACTTTGGTACAAGCTCTGTTTTTTTCCAGATCTGGAAACAGTAACAAAAGAAAAAACAAAAGATTTCTCACCTAGTCCTTATTTATTTATTTATTGTCTTCTCCTTTTCTGTGACATAAATCATCTCTCTCCTCTTCTCCTTTGAAACTCATAATTGCATTTATTTTTCCTGAGATTTGGGATTAAAATAATAATATCTTTGGGTTTTTAAGTTCATAACTAAATGCAGACATGCTATTAGGAGACTAGTGTTTGTTACTTTTACTCTATACAAAGGTCAATTAAAAATGTCATGAGAGCTGGAAACTTTTCAAAACAGGAAAAGTGCAACAGAACTGATAGTGTTGAAGGCAAAAACAATAAGGCAGGTGGCACAAATCATCACAGAAATGGAGCACTTTGGGATACTGGTGTCCATGAAGGAATCCTTGGGGTCTTCAGGAGAATTCAGGGGGAATATGAATTGTGTAGCCCCAAGGTCTTTTTTTATTTCTTACTATAAATTAGTTTTTCTTCTTCCCTAAACTTTTTTCATGGTTCAGATGCTTATGGAACAAACATCTGGACTGAGGTATGATGCCTGTCTTGAACTGTGCTTTCACATTGAGAAACAAGTGCATTTGCCTTTTCTCTAGCTTGTGTATGCACTTAATCCAGAAATATTGGTAGCCTGATGCTGGCATATAAACAGCATTATTTAAAGCAATCAGCTTGACCTAGTGCCAACCCCAAGTAATTAAAACCTGGCTGATTTTAGAGGGCCACAATCACACCCTTCTCCTGTCAGTCACTCTTTCTGCAAGTGCTGTAATTCTCTGTCACACCTCCTTTCGCCTGCATCTGCCCTGCATCTCCCCAAGGCAGTGGGAAACACCTGCATGGGGTATTCATCCTCTGGTTGCTCCAGAGCTGCCAACATTGACTGCTTCTGCCCTGCCTGACATCTCCTGGGGCAGGAGAACCAAGTTGGTACTACAAGAGCCCATCTCAGCCCCGCTGCTCCCACGTGGAGCACTGAAATAAAAGAAAAGCTGTATCTGGGCTCCAGGTACCATAGCTGTTGCCTTGGACTGGGTGGAATTTAGCAATTTGTGATAGAAAGCATCTCCTGGTGATGTATCGCTAAACCTGGGATACTGTACCCTGCACCCTGGTTTTTCCACATGAAGTGGAACAGAGGGAGAGACAAAGCCACTGACTCTTCTGC